TTGCTGTCTGGCTTCCTTGTTTACAATTTGAGTCAGGCTGGGAGGATAAGTCACAAACCCTCAAATGCCCTCTGAAGCTCCTTTCCCCGATTTCTTCTCAGCCACACTGGGGGGCAGGGTAGGTTTGGGCATGAGATAATGAAAACAAAACGAACTGGTGTTTTGGACTTAAGACATGCTGGGCACTATGCTAGGTGCTTTCCGTACACTAATTGTTGCCCGCCAGGGGCATAACTTATGCTTTGAGGTACAAAAACAGAATCCCAGAGAGTATGACCTGCCCAACATCACAGAACAAGCCTGTGGCAGAACAGGGTTAGAATCTGGGTCTGTGCTCTCCTAATACCACAGGGCGCTTGGTGGACAACCTTTGGCTGGGCCTGATTTTAGAGACATCTTGACGGACAGGGAGCTGTGGATGGGAATCCAGGTACTGTGGGAGCTCAGATTTTGTCCTTGAGGGAAGTTGTCCATCTTTCCACCCTCTTCCTCACAGCCTCCTGTGAGCTAGGCTCAAGGCCAGACTTCCAGGTGGAGTGGCAGTGAGGGGGCTGAAGTTTGGGAAGGGAGCCTCCCATCCAGGGAACCTGAACAGAGTGACCTAGGGAACCCTAGTCCATAGCCTGGGAATTTGGGGTTTGCTGTGTGTGTTGAGAAGGAGCCCTTCCTTGGAGCCCCTCCTTGGCTGCCAGGAGTCCTGGAAACAGGGTCAGGGAGAAATGGGGAGCAGGTGGCGATCCACTCAGCCATGAGCTCCTGCTGTGGGCCAGCTCTGGCCTGGCTGCTGGGGAAACAGAGACTGACAGTTCAGTGGGGAAGGCAGATAACGAGAACAAAGTATAGAAGAAGGCCTTTTAAACACTGGTATAGAGTGCCTGAGGGGCAATACTAAATAGGGTGGCCAGGCAAGGATGGAAGTAGCATTTGAGCAGATACCTTTGCAGCACAGAGACAAGTGACTTGCCCCAGGGCTACACAGTAACTTCAGGCAGAGCCAGGCTTGGACCTGTCTCTGGATTCCCATTCTAATCATCTCCGTCCTCAAAACATCCTTTTCTTGGATTCTGTGGGTTCTCTGGGTTTCCTTCTTAGGTTGTTGGGCATTGCTTCTCTGAGTCCTTGACTGGCTCATCATCCTCCCAGTGGTGGCTGATCACAGCCGTTCTTTGTCTGGAAGGTGGGCTTTTACCCATTACCCTATCTATACCCTGATGACTCCCAAGCTGCTGCCTCTATATCCCCCATCTCTCCCCTGAGTCCCAATGACTTCTTCACTTGGATGTTTGACAGACGTCTTGTTAGAACAGTGCTAAGTTAATACAACAGAGAACCTAATTTAGAGTAGTTAAAAAATACTCACTTGATCACTTTCTCATATAACAGTTTCCAGGGAAGTGTTCCAGGCTAGTGGATAGCTCTGCTCACAGTGTCATTTAGGGACCCAGACTAATTTTAGTAAGAACCTTCAAGGGTCCTTCTGGTCATGGTCCTTCCAGCCAATAAAAGGGAAAAACGTGGAAGTCCAGGACAGGAATTTGCTCTTAAGCAAGTGAGGTGGAAGTTGAAACACTGACTTCTTGTTCACATTCCACAGATGAGAGTTTAGACACATAGCCCCCACATAACTGCAAGGGAAGCTGGGAAATGACCTAGGTGGGTGGACAGCCAGCAGCCTCTTCCACAGTACCTGCTCTAGAACAGTGAGGACTTCCCTGCCCTGGTGGTGGGAGAGGCTCCTTAGGGGCATCCAGTTCATCCTGTGTCTCCCTGGCCCTTGGCTTTGCCCTTGGCAAATTCCTCCCTGTCTGTTACTCTACACTAAAGGGTGAAAGTCTGTCCCTCTTGGGTGCTTCTTTGGAGTAGAACAATCATGGGCTTTTGAAGTCCAGCCTTGCTATTTTGTTGGTAATAATAATGCCTTCAAAAACTTAGTAGGCTTCAGATCCATCTGTTTCTAGTCGTTTCCATGTGGGAGTGACCACACCCAAAGTTCCTTTCTTCATGGAGTTAATAAGTGTCTCTGCCTTGCTCAACCCATCTCTTTCTCTGTCACTTTATATGAAAATTACCCTCAGGATATCTGAAATAATAGACTTGGATGATAGGGAACACCCCTAATATTTGCCATGGGGATGATCCCTTTGTTTGTCTTAATATTTGGCTTAATGGGCTTAGAGAAAGGCTCTGAGCCATGACAGTCTGACCTGCTCTTTGTACAAAAGCAGTTGATTTTTCCAACTCTGAGGATAGTGGTTTTCTTTTAATCTCCTTTTCTGTCCATCTCTTCTTGCAAACTAGCTTATCCCTTTCTTGTAATACCTTGCTAAAAGCAGAATTGAGCAGCCAATACATGCAAATGTTTTTGGCTCTTTCCAGCCATTTTCCTGGAATCATAGGCTAAGTAGGCATGTGGTCTTACTAAATTATCACAGATAATGTTTTAAATAAATGTTTTGTCACAGCACAACAGGGTCACCACCAGCTTTCCATTCTCTAATATTTGTTTCCATATTGCTTACCATCTATTGGCTAAACCAATACCACATATTTTAGGGTTTTCATATATGGCAACTTCCCATTCTTGTGACCAATTCCTATATTAGAGTATTACTAGGCTGCTGATAAAAGGAACTCCAAAATACAGTGGCCTTAAGATTATAAAAATTAAGGTTTTCTCTCACGCAATGTAGTTCTGATATATGCGCTTCAGGCTCCAGCCCTATGGGTGGAGGATTTTGATGGACAGGCACAGACTCCGCAGTGGTTCTCCCCCTCCCCAGCCTTCTCTTCCCAACGACATTCCTGTCAGTCAGTGGCACCACCATCTAACACTTGGTCAGGCCAAATACATAAAAGTCAACCTTGTTCCCCCCTACCCAATCCACCTCTCAAGTCCTCTCAATTCTATCTTGAGACAAATCCCAAATCTGACCATTTCCCTAAATCTCTGTTGTCTTCACCCTAATCCAAGACTTTAGTGTCTTGTATCTGTGGGTCATATGACTGTCACCTTTCTAGGCAGGCTCCCTGCTTCTCCCCAAACCCCTCTTCAGTCTACTCTCCACATGGCAGCCAAAGTGAGTTTTTAAAAATGTAAATTGGAGCATGTAGCTTCCCTGCTCAAAACCCTTCAATATCTTACTTACCATTGTCCTTAGAATAAAATGCTGTCTCCTTAACATGGCCAAGGCCTTCCATGACTGTCCCTACTTATCATCCCCCTCCCCCACTCTGCTTTAGCCACGTAGGTTTTCTTGTTCCTTGAATAAGCCAAGCTTGTTGCTGTCTTAGTGCCTTTGTACTGGGATTCCTTCTGCCCAAAACATTCTCCTTCACTTGGGCACACACTGGTTCCTTCTGTGTCCTCCACAGGGCAAATGACTTCAGTGTAGTGGATGAGAGTGATGGTTTAGGAACTAAGTCACCTGGGTTTGAACTCAGCTCTGCTGCTGACTAGCTGTGTGAACTTCGGCAAGTTGCTTAGCTTCTCTGTGCCTTGGTTTTCCTATCTAAAAATGGTGGTGATGAAAGTATTTGTTACCCAGAGTTGTTGAGAGAATTAAATATGACAACACAGTGAGTTAATGCATGAAAGAACTCAGAGTGTGGCACATATTAAACTTCATAATGTTATTGTCCTTATTAAGGGTCCCCAGGGGTCACCTTAAGTATCACCTGCTAAGAGAAGCCTTTCCTGGCCACCCCCTCTGCACATCTCTCCATCTGCATCCCTGTCACACCACTGAAAGTACATGCTCTTCTTTAGGTGTTTATCTGTCCCTCCCACTAGAATGTAACTTTCATGGGGGCAGGGACTTTCCTTAGCTGGTACACAGTAGGTTCTCAATAAATCTTTGTTGAATGGCTATATGAGAAACGGCGGCCAAATGCCTTTGGTTCCCTCCTTTCCCAGTGGCCCCATGAGCCTTGCTCAGTGGCTGGGAGGTGGGGGTGGAGGATACTGCTCTATGTGTGCCCACACCTCGGACCTCAGATGTGGTCAAGGTAAGGTGCACAGTTTCCTTTTGGGGATCAGGAATCAGCCTAAGGGACCTTCTCTTAGAAGTCTTAGGGGCACTGGTGGGTATCAGCACTTAGCAGGGGACTGTAACAGCATGGACTCCGGAGTCCCCACTCTCTGGTCCCATCAGTTACTAGGGTACTAGTTACTCATCCTCTCTGTGTCTCCATTTTCTCAGATGTAAAATTGGGAGAACACCAAGGACTCAAAGGGCTGTTATGAAGATTAAATAGGGTAATGCATGTAGAACAAAGTTCACTGGCTGGCTTGGAGTAAAGCTCTCCAGATGGTAGTTATTATTTTTGCTAGTGCCATGTCCAAGTGTCATTCTTCTGAGCATGAATGGGGGGTGCTTGAGGGACTGGCAGGGTTGGGGAGTGAGACAGAAGAGAGCAAAAGGAAGAACTGGAACAGAATAAGCAGGGTGGTTTGTATTCCTGCATGTCTCCGAGTGTGTCTGCGTGTGTGTATGTACTGGGGGAAGAGGAGGGGAGAGAGGTGGCAAGGAGCCAGAAAAGAAACCCAACCTTTCTAAGGAACTCGGTTCTAGGGAGCTGAGTGCTCAGTCTCTCCCCGCTGCAAGGAGAGCTGGGAGCAGACTCCACCAAGCGCGCCCAAAGGAGAGCTCGCGGCGGAATAATCAGTGTCTTGAGGGTGTTCGTTTGGGCTTAGGAGGCGGGGGCGGGGGACCTGTGGCCCAGCAGCCACCGCGGTTGGTATAAACTTGGGGAACCCAAGATGGGCAATGGCATCCCAGTCAGCCGGTCTGAGGACCCCTGTTCTCCGACGGGCCGCGTCTGGCGGTGTGTTTCCTGGGCCTCGGATGTCCCCGGAACCCGCGCAGGCGGGGCCTGCCTTCCGGAGTCGGGTTGGCTGGGGGGCGGGCGGCGCTGGAAAGGGCCGTTACTTTCCCAGAGTAGCGGGGCGACGTCAGGCGGAAGGGCGCGGGCCGCGCACGCTTTAAATGGCATTCGCTGTCATCCGAGCTCGCAGCCGTGTGGGCTGGAGCGAGCTATATAAGCGGCGAGCCGGGGCGCCGCGGGGCACACGGCGACAGCAGCGGCGGCGAGCGCCTGGAAGCGCAGCGCAGCAGATCACCGGAGCCCCGCGACGGGCCCTCCCTCCCGTCCTCCCGAGGAGCGCCGGCCCGGGCCCGCAAGGGCCGCCGCCACCCCGCAGCAGATTTGGATCCCCCGCCTGGCGAACCCCCGGCTGCTGCCTCCCGGGGGTCCCCGGCGCAGCGGCCGCCCCCCGAGAGCCCCGGCCTCCCGCAGCCCGGCCCCGAAGACGCCGGCAGCGCCATGGCGGCCGCCAAGCCCGGCGAGCTGATGGGCATCTGCTCCAGCTACCAGGCGGTGATGCCCCACTTCGTGTGCCTGGCCGACGAGTTTCCGCAGCCCGTGCGACCCGCCAAGCTGTCCAAGGGCAAGGGCCGGCTGCGGCGGCCGCGCCAGTCTCGCTTCAAGACGCAGCCGGTGACCTTCGACGAGATCCAGGAGGTAGAGGAGGAAGGGGTGTCCCCCATGGAGGAGGAGAAGGCCAAGAAGTCGTTCCTGCAGAGCCTGGAGTGCCTGCGCCGCAGCACGCAGAGCCTGTCGCTGCAGAGGGAGCAGCTTAGCAGCTGCAAACTGAGAAACAGCCTGGACTCCAGCGACTCCGACTCGGCCCTGTGAGGGGCGCCGCCCGCAGTGGGGACTCGCGCGCCGCCGTGACCAGCCCGGAGACCAGCGTGCGAACCCCGGGGACCCCAGGGACCGGGAACCGCCACCCTTTGCGCTTGGGACTCCCGCCCGGCTATGAACTGGTCCGGCGCCCCGCGCCGCGTTCGCCGTGGACCGGAGCACACGCGGGGCACCGGGAGGGGGACTGCTTTCTTTGCCCTTGTAAATGTTTATTTTTTAACTCTTCCCAATACGAACTCTGCTGTGAGTGTGTGCGGAGGGGCGCGCCCGCGCTGAGTCGAACCCGGGTCGCCAGGGCTTCCTGAAGAGCCGCTCCACTCCCTCGTCCGATGGTATGCAACTCCGATTTTGCACACCGCTCCACCGTGCTCCCCGGCGCACGCCCGTTCACACTCACGCCAACACACTCTCGCTGAACACTTTTATAATTGTTAGGCGCAGCTGATCGGACTTGGGGGACAGCGCAGCTGTTGCTGCGGCCGGAGGATTGATATTTATTTTTGCATTGTGATAGCTGACGGCGTTTATTTATCTTTTTACGTAAATATGTCTGTGGGGCTCCTGATCGGAGACAAATAAATTCAATATATTTCCACAGTGCATTTCACCAGGCTCTTGACTTCTTGAACCTTTGGGGCTCAGGCTCCGGGTGGTAGGGCAAGGATGTGGCTGGAATGGGGGCCAGGAATCCCTGAGTGGAGGTAACTCCACAAGCTTCAGTCACCAGAACGAGGTCGCGCCCATGGTGCGTGGGTCTATTGCCCTCCTCCCCAGGTGGATCCACACCTAGCCCAGAGTACTCCTGTCTCCCCGATCTGTTCCGCACCGTCGGCGTCCGGGATGGATGAAGCCGCTGGAGAGGCGCTGTGAGAACCGAGAGTGCCGTCCTTGTTGCAGCTGACCTCTCAGGGAGGCCGGGGTTGGTATCATCGCCCCGCACTCCGGGCAGAAGACCCCACTCATTCTGCGCCCTTCCAGGCGGCGGGTGGGGAGACGCCTAAACTAGCAGTGGGAGACCAAGACGAGGACATTAGAATGAAGGGACCCGAAGAAGGGCTGGGTGGGTGCGCACTCACTGCTGCGTGCAGGTGACAACCCTGCGCTCAGCGCAGTGCAGGGTGGCCCTGCGCGGCGGGAGCAAACAGCTCTGTTTTGGTTCTCTGGTCCCTTTCTCCACCCTTCGTTACCCTTTTCAGGTTCCCGCAAGGAGGGTGGGGCATGTCATTGGTCAGAGACTGAAGGCCGGTTGGGTACCACCGAGTCTACTCCCTGGGCTTTGCGGATGAGAAAAATCTAGCAGATAGAGAAAGGTCACATGGAGAGTAGTGATGGCGCGGCCAGCTCTCCAGACTCTGCGTCAAGTGCTCCTTTCATCAAGTGCTGTCTTGCCAATGCTCTCCAGCTGTCCCGCATTCCTGTCTACAACCTAAAACCCTTGGGTTAGCTGTTTAACAATGTCACCTGGCTGCAGGTGGTGGCAGGGTAATAAATAACATTCGGTTGAGGAGGGCAGGTCCCCACACGTGGGGCCCCAACCCAGCCTACCTCTCCAGGATTACTCCGGAGTTGACCCAACACGAACAGGCTTTCCGCAGAGTGGTTCAGAGAGAAGTGGAGAGCTTGGGTGCTTTTCCTACTCCGCTCTCTCCCCGAGGTATCTAAATTTCTGCGCTCGGGTGCCCTCTGGCGGTGGGGGCTCAGCCCCGCAGTGGATAGGAAATAACTTGACTTCCCGCCGCCTCTCTTGTAGCCCTGGGCTGAGCAGAAGAGAAAGGAGATAAAATGAAACAAAGAAACAAAAATAGAGCCCATAGGGCCTCAAAGAATGTACTTCCCCGTTGGCTTAGAGGGAGGAGGCCGGTCCCAGGGTCTTGCGGGTTGGAGTAAACTTTGGCGCTGCCCAGCTCTTGAGAACACAGTGGCCGTTACAGTCCTCAGCCCTTGTTCCACGTGGTAGAGGCTCCTGACAGAAGGCTCTTACCTGCAAAGGCCTCGGCCTAGTGAGACAGACGTGTTTGAGGCTTTGATTCTGGTCTCTGCAGCTGCCATGGCCAGGCTGGTTTGGGATCCTTGGGGTGGAAGGATGGTTGGCTGAAGCTGGGAGTGCCCCCGCCTCCATTCTCTTCCCTCATCCTGGTCCCACTACCCCATCCTATCTTACATCTTTAGTAGTAGCTCCTGTTTCTACTCTTCCAGAGGTGGGTGCACGATGTTCTCCTCATCCTTCAATCCTGAGATCCTGGCTGGGCAGCTTCCTGCTGGGCACCACTGCCCTGCCAGTACCTGCTGGAGAGCCCCCATCTATCTGTGTTCAGGCACTACCCTAGTGCAGGCCTACCTGAAGGATCCCCTTGGGTCACCCTGGCCACTATCTGGGGTTGTTGCAGGGACCACATCTGATCATTCCAACTCCTGCTCATACCTTGGCAGAGGACCCAGCACCAACTAGGTACTTCTGAAATGTTTGTGGGGTTAAAGTGAATAAGAGGGCAGTGGGAAACATTGCTGCCCCTGTTACCTACTTTCTTGTTTATTTTTAAATTATTCTAATGTTTTATTGCCTAAGAAATATTTGTTCATTATAACATAAAACAAGTCACTCATGCTTCCACCACCCCAAGATAAATATATTAACATTTTGGAAGTTATGCCTATATATGAATATTTGTTTTCATTTGCAGAATGGATTTATGCTTTAAATACTATTTTTAATCTGCTTTTTTTGTTTATCTGGATTTGTATTTAATATCAGTATGTGTAGTTCTACATCATGGTTTTTATACAATTCTATCGAATAGATACTCCACATTTAATTAAGCTAATTCCCTTCTCTTTGGTATAAAAGTGATGTCCTGTTTGTCCCAGTTTCTTAGTTTTGCCCATAACTGGCAGTTAGTTCCAAGGGTTGAATATAAAAAGAGGTTTGGAAGGGGCAGTGACACAGAGACGCGCTGGGTGAGGGAGGGGCGGCTGGGATGAGCAGGATTAGAGGCAGCATGCTGGTGGGGATGCTGTGGCCCCCAGGCTACGCTGGGATACTCTCTGGGTTCTGAACAGCTCTGCCCTGCCTGGAGGAAGGAGGGAGGCAGGAAGGGGCTCTTCGGAGGTCCCTATAGATCTTCTGCGGTTCAGCCCCTCCCTTTAACTTGAAGATATTCCAAAGAAGTGGGTGACTCACTCCAAGGAGGCAGCTGGGCTGGACTGGGAGGCCACAGGGTGGAAGAAGAGGAAAGAGACAGACATAGGTTGATGGAGCAAGAGAGACGAGCACCAGAAAATGGAGAAGAATGAGGCTTCTCACAGATATGGGGACTAAGAGACAGAGACGTGGGGAAACAGAGATATGGAGTCAGGAGCCAGAACATTTTAGAGACGGAGAAGAATAAGGGCCACTGTTGGAGGGTGGAGTGAGGGCATAGAGAGCAAGATGAGGGGAAGGCAAGATGAAGAGTGCTCTGGGGAATGTGCATTGGGGGAGAGAGATGTCGGCGAAAGAGCCTCTCCAGGAGCCTGAGAGCTGGCGTTGCCTGCATTGGGTGAAAGCCGGCCCAGCAGGGCAGATTTACAGACTTGTCCAGGGAGATGCCTCCGTCCTTCTCTTCTCTGTCTGGGCCTCAGCCCACAGGCCTAGCCTGGGCAATGAGTTTTCAAACAAGTGGGGGCCCAGAGGAGTTAACAGTGGCCATCCCAGCCCTGGCCAGCACCTCTTCTAAATACTTCTCTTTGGCCCTGGGGGAGATGCTTACCAGGATGTTTCTTGGACTGGTTTAAAAGCTAGCTTGGTCTCTGCAGCCCACTGTGTGCCACTTGTGAGCCCACTTGGTGTGGGGTTGAGAGGGAAGGGCTGCCTGTGATCCCAGGGAATTGGGGTCAGCTGTGGACTTGGGAATCCTCCCTCAGGGAACACATTTGGGGTACTTCTAGGCCCACTGGGCTCTGGCAAAATGGGGCAGGAATAAAAGCCACCATGTAGTGAGTGCCTCTGTGGGTGATCTACTTTCATCTAGATAATGTTTCCCAGGCATTTCACAGATGCAAAAACCGAGGATCAGAGAGATTCAGTTTCTTACCTAATGCCACATAGCTAGTCAGAGGTGAGCTGGGTCACAACCTATTTTTTTTTTTAATCCCAAAGCCTGTGCCCTTTGTAGAATATGAACCCCAACTTCTCACTGTAACCCCCTGTGGCAGTCACAAGAATGGGCCTTGCAGACCTCCTGTTACAGGGGGTGTCATTGTCCAGGAAAGAAAAGCTCTGGCTTTGAAATCTATCCTATGCTCCCCACGAGCCACAAGCTGCTCCCCAACAATGGCTGTAAGCATGGCTGAATACTGAGGCAGAGCTCTCCCTGGGAGGCTTGTGATGTCTCTGGTGCTGGACATTGGCTTAAGGATTTCCCAATGGCTCTGCTAGAGGTCTTAGACTGCAGGCAGCCCATGGACACCTTTCCCTCTCCCCTTACCTCAGGGTCACTCTTGCATTCCAGCCTGCTGGCTCCCCTGGCCTTTGGTGGCTCCCTCTCTGTTTCACCTCACAGAACCATGTATCCTAATGAAGTCCTTGTGTACTGAATCCCATCTTGGCATCTGCTTCCTGGAGCACCAAGGCCAATATACCATTCCATCTGCCAGCAGCTTCCTGGTGCTGCCACACATCGCCTGCAGGTGCCCACTGGCACAGGGGAGGATGGTGGGCATGATTTTAGAAAGGATAGCAGGGACATGGCAAAGTTTATCAAACAAATGTGTGTTGTGATGGGCTGCTGGCCCTGTGCTCTCGATGGGGAATAAGCATGTTGTGGCCTGTGTGTGGGGAAAGAGAGCAAGGGGCTCCCACATGGACAGTTGTCCTCTCAGCTTATGTTCAAGGCATTTGACTCCTGATCACTGCCTGTCCATTCAGCTCCCAGGCCTGTGGTAGAGGCTGCTAATTGGCCTCCAACATTGATTTTCCCTTTCCTCCAAGGCACACAGCCAGAAAGCTATGTCCCAGATGCTCTTGTACTTAGATCTATTGATGTGATCAAGTTTTAGCCAACAGCATATATTGGGAAGAGAAGCATGTTTCTCTTAGGTCTTGGCCTTAGGATGTACCCTCCTGCCACCCCCACACACTCTTTCCCCCTCTTGCCAGTGGGAACATGATTGTGCTGCAACCCGGCAGTGATTAAGCCAACAAGGCCAGTGGCCTAGAAGATTGCAGAGAACAAGCTGGAAGGACCCCAAGACTCCTGAATGACCTTGTGGAATACAGCCTGCCAATCTGGAATGATCACAATGGAGTATTATACATGAGAGAAACACACTTCTTTCTTCTTTGAGCCACTAAATCATTATTGGATCTCTTTATTATAGCAGCCTTCCCTTACCCTAAGTAAACAAAAATTATTACTGGCAATGGGGTGCTGTTTTAACAACCTCCCCTACAAATGAAGCATTGACTAAGTGGTTTTGCTGCATAGGAAGGCACAGATATTGTAAGCTAGAAAGTTGGAGACCCTTGTTATACCTTAGAAAATCATTTGATACTATTTTTATGACATGTTGGAAGGCTGATCATATACTGACCAGGCCAATGCTGGGACAGGTGGTTGGAAAGAGCCAGAATATTAGTGTACATTGGCCGCTGCTCTTGTGACTTTTAGCAAATTATTATAGAAAGACAAGAGAGATGGAAATGAATACAGAATATCCTCACAGAGGGGAAAGCTGCCCTTGCTTTGTAACCCACAAAGAAAGAAATCAGCTGTTAGGCTCAGAGCCTTTCTTGAAGGCCACCCAGGAAGCCTAGGGTAGGATCCAGCCCTGGAGCAAGGTCAAATTAAGGTTATTGTTTTCCCACTTAAGTTCCCCTGCCCTCTCCCTACCCCCACCATGTAGCCCAAATTAAAATAAGAGGTATGGATTAGAGCAGGAAACAAAGTAAGAAAATAGTCTTCAGAGCTCTGCTGAGAAAACCTCTTTGGATATGGTTACTGGCACCTGGAACTAGCTAGAAGCACCTAGACCAGAAGATTTTTGAGGGAATTGTCAAAGAAAGTAGAAATTGGCCAGTAATTAGGATTGTTTGAGCCCCAAAGGAACCTCCTCAGCCCTCCTGCCGCCAAGAAGGCCAGGCCTTTTAACATCTTCAGTTGTGGCCACAGGATAACAGGGAAGGGAGAATCTTCCAGCACTAGGTTGGAACTCTTCCAGAATATTCCAGAACAGATTAGCCTCTGTCGCAGCAAATCCTTGCCATCTGCCACCCTGATTTGCCTATTGCTGTATACCAGTGACTTCTGAGTGTTCCCATTCTTCTCTTTTCCACACAGGAGCTTTTACTGTGGTTTTCCCATCCCTATCCACCACTGTATTTGGGTGGGTAGGGGGCAGCTGGAGTGGTGGTGTTGGGAATAAATGAATTATCTTGCATTTTATATGTTGCTGGACCACGAGGAATCATGTGTCGCTCTGGAGAGGACTTCTTTCTCCCAGATTTCTCGCACTTTGATCTGGAAGTATAGCTGGATGGAGTTTGAGACTGATTTCCCTGGAGAGGGGCTGAGTGTGTTCTTTTGTGGTAAGGAGGGTCGCATGGGCATCTGGTGGCCAGTTGGGCAGACCACAGTGGACCTACTGGTGGCCCACTGAAATCCATTTTTCATGTCTTCCTCTGCATAGCTAGACCGAATCTCTCAGCCTTCTTTGTGCTGAGCTTGGCCCTGTGCCAATGTTCTCTGTAACAAGCAAGAGGCACGTGCCACACTGGGCCTGCGCCTTAAGCCTGTGGTCACGTTGCTCTTGTTCTTCCCAGAAGGCAGAACGTAGCCAGTCTGCGGCCTGCCTACCAAGCCTGAGGGCAAGGCCAGGGGACATCAGGACACTGAGCTGCCTGTTCAGGGAGAATGTGGACTCAAGACAGGCCACTAGCCGAGAGAGAAATGAGATCCTGTCATCCTTAAACCACTGCATTCCTGCTGGTCTCTTGTGTTAGCCTAATCTACACAAAGTCCTTTCCTTCAATCTGTGGCAGAGAGGAAGGGTGTTCTCACCAGTCTGGCCCAGAACAGGTTTTCTCATGTCAGGAAAATGTCCCATTCTCCTGACTGGGGTGGGGACATTGGACTGCTACCCAAGATGTGCTCCATAGGCAGGGATGGGGGAAGGTGGGAGTGGCTCAGGACTGGGATTGGAAGCAAACATACTTAGATCCCAAATAAATCTTCCAGGGAATTGTTCTTCCAAAGAAACCATAAGATCCTATAATTGTTTAGGCCTCTAAACAGCCCTCAAGGAAGACATATTTCCTGATACTCCCTTCAGATGAGCACAGTAGGTAAGGAAGAATCTTCCACAGGGCAATACCAGAGCAGCCTGAACATGCCAGGGCAAGGGTTCTCACAATCCCTGCCTTGAGACTACTGTGCCGCTCATGCTTTCTCTTCTGTAAGGGGTCTTTATTGTGGTGTTGCTTTGTTTCACCATTGTCTGTTGGTCAGATGGGTGAAACAAATGAGTCGTCTCACAGCTTATAGGTCATTGAACCACAAGAAATCACATCTGAACCTGGGAGGAGGTCTGTGCATCACTCAGAGATCACAGATACAGTAACTTTGGTGCATCCCTCACAGAGAAGGGTGTCCTGCTCATGGGAAAAT